ATAGTTACAAAAGTATTAAATGACCAAGAATAAAGCATAGAACCTCTATTGGTTCTGGACAGCTAGTGCTTTTTCTCCTGTATAATTTCTGTATATCAAAAATAAACAGAAAATACAATTTTAGAAAGTAATATTTAATAGTTACAAAAGTATTAAATGACCAAGAATAAAGCATAGAACCTCTATGTAGAAATCAATAAAAAGTTTGATATAAATTAAAGTCAAACAAATGCATCACGGTCAATGACTAGGGGATGATGCGGTCAATTCTGCTAAGACGTCAATTTTTGCCAAATTGATTTTAAAGATCAGTGCAATCACAATAAAATGTCAATGGGATTTTTTGTTAGGAATCTGATAAGCTAATTCTAAAAGTGTATGGACATCCAAAAGGCCTGGAAGGGTCAAGCACTCTTGAGAAAGTAGAATAACTTAGGGGGACTTGTTTTATTAAATATTAGAACTTATCATAAAGCTACAGTAATTAAGACAGGACACATATCCAGATCAATGGACCAGAACATGCAGTCCAGAGACAGACCTGTGCATATATGGACACTTCAGCAGCCGTCAAAGGATAAATGACATTAAGAATGTATACCCAGGAGGGACGAACATGCCAGTGCTCCCTTATCTCGTCCTAGGAACAAAAATCAATTCCAGATATATTGAAGAGTTAACTATGCTAGCAAAACAATGAAGCTGTTAGGACTTACTCTACAGAGAATACTTCTATAATCTCAGGGTGGGAAAAGACTTCTTAACCCGAGGAGAAAAAGCACTAGCTGTCCAGGAAGATACTATGAACTGGATGACATTAACATTAAGAACTCTGTGCACCAGAAGGCACCACCGAGAAAATGAAAGGGTGAGTCACAGGAGAAGATATGTGTGATACATATAACTGATAGAAGCCTCGTCCCAAATGTATGAAGTACTCCTACAAATCAGAAAGAAAAGAACAGTAATATAGGCAACAGACACTTCACACAAGAGGAATTTCAAATGGCCAAGAAACACATAAAAGGTGTTCAACCTCATCAGTAATGAGTAAAATGCAAAATACAACCCCCAGGAGATACCACTACATATCCACTGACTTGACAAAAAGCCTAAATAATTGAAAATATCAAATGTTGAAGAGAATGTGTGCAATGACAGACCCTGCTGACGGGAACAAAAAATAAAAAGATGGCACTGTTGCTTTTGAAAACTCTGGCATTATCTCGTGCAGTTGAAGTTACAGCCAGAAGCAAAATGCATGGTTCCTTTTCTAAAAGGTTCTAAACCAGAAAAAGGAAATGATAGTGTTTAAGAACGCACACCTATTAGGTAAAATACTTCAAAAAATTTAAAGTATTATCACATAAATCTGGCAATGACCATCTGTTGGAAGAGATTTTGATTAGAAAGGGACCCTCAGAGTCTGGGTGGAGTATTTCTGAGTCGCTGTGTTTTCTTTGAATTATTTATTTTCACAGAGGTATTCATTTTATACAGATTCATTAAGCCATACATGTTTTATGTACTCCATATGTCTTTATTATTTTCTGGCAGTTTTACGATTTATTAACACAAATACAATGAGCACACACGCTGTCTCTACATGTTCTTTGCCGCATAGCCTGGCGCTGGGATTGGTGATGGCCCCTGGGCTGCCCTTTCCCAGCTTTGCAGTTCCTGGTCTCAGCACGGGAAGATTCGCAGCACGTCAGCAGCGCTTCAGGCTCCTTGGCATCGTGGACCAGGAACTTCCGGGAGCCACTGGGCAGCATGTGCTCCGTGTTCTTGATGCCCCCATGACCAGTGCTGGGCGTCAGGGTCTGGCCTCGAATCTTCTGCACACCCTATGTTACGCGTAATTTTGACCTATTGGTCTGACTGGTGCCGGATGAACTTCTTGGTCCTCTTTTTGACTATCAGGCTTCATGAGGGGGCTGCCAGGTGGGAGACGGCTACCCCATCCGTTGGCAGTGCCGAGGAAGTTGTACTTTATTTTCACAATAAAAACAGGCATAAAGAAGATGTCAGGAACAAAGTTCCTCTTCTCTGGGCACATTCACGTGTCATGTGACGCCCAGAAAGGCAGAGGCAGGCAGTGGGCCACAGCCAGCTGAGGGCCAAGTCTGCACACGGAGGCTGGCGGGTGAAGATGCCCCTGGCCAGGGAGCCCCAGGGAAGCTGCTCAGTGCAGGAAGCCTGTGGGTGGCCGGGTGGGTAGGTTCTCCTTCCTGCTTTGTTTTCCTTCGTGACTTCAATAGAATTCCTTCCTTGGCCCTCTAAAAGTTGTTCCTGCTGTTTCATATTATTCAGTTTTCAGATTTTTCCTTTCAATCAAGAATCATTTAGGGAGGTCACATTGGGCAATTCTGGCTCTTTTCTTTACACAGGAAGTTGGACAAAGTTTTCAAAATTCAGTTATTCTATTTTGAAAAGGTCTCTCATCCCTGTCTCCTAGGCAACATGTAACTGTTTTCATTTTCCCTGGAAAACTATGATCAAATGTGATCAACTTGACAGAATCGACTACAATTGCTTTTCTAACCTCCTTTTAGAAAGAAAATTAACCAATTTTATTGTGTAATAAATGAATTAGACAATTAAACTTGTTTGTACATGGGGCAGAGTCCTAGCAAAAGTTTTGTTGTTTTTCTTTATATTGCCCATAAAAGACTTTAATTAGGATACCAATACCAATATAAAATTTTTCAAGAACAGAAGATTGTGGGCTCAAAACTCTCTTTAAGGCTAATTTAAATAACTTGAGAAGTGATCTGAACAGCCTGCGTCTTCCAGCATTGACCAGATGTCAACTCCCAATGCATATTCATGGAATTTGCTACACCAGTGCTGTGCTTCTGTACTTTCAAGCACAAGCCATTAGTTTATCTTGGTTCATCCACTTGTTTTTCTTATAAACTAAAAATGGTTGGTTAGAAATGAACACATCAACCCAGAGAACTTTTTCTTGAATGTTACTTAAGCATGGCTTTTGGAAATGTCTAGAGTTAAACATTAGAACATCTTTTTTCCTTGCTCACAATAATGTACATCTCACTCTAAGTCTATTCACAAGTCACAGGAAAACAATTCCCTATCTTTGTCTAGTGTGTTAACAGACCTCAAAAAACTAAAGCCCATCATATGTCAGGCTTTTCTTATTTCAGGCAAAAATTACACCTGCCGCCTTTTTGAGGTGTTGTATAATTGGTATACGAGTACTTAAGCCCTTATTATACAGCAAGGGATCTCAATTAAGCCCAGTTTATAGCTGTTGCTCTGGGAAGATAACCCATGGATCTGTGCTGTTATATAACCACACCAACTTATGTAACAAACCCATTCTGCCCCACAGCAGAGATTTATTAACCAGAGTTGAGTTTTGTCCTGCAGATTGCTGGCTTCTAATTGGAAGACCATGCTCAAGAATTCCAGACATTTGTCAACATAATAATGTTACCCTACCTGTCCTTCTGAGTCCATTTACAGAAGTGTGTCACTTGCATTTTTAGGTTTCTTGAAGGTCACAGCAAGGGTATGGAGCTTTGCCCCACACCCCCTTATAATCCTGCTCCCCATTCCACCAAGGACAGTTTTTGTCTGTCCTCTCACTCTGCCTTTCTCACTGACCGCACTACTGACCTGTGCCTTGTATATTATGAAAAGAGAAGGACAAATAACTACCCGCTACCCAGGCTGTGATATAGACAGCCCCAAACAACAGTAATTGCCACCTAAAGAGCAAGAATCGTCAGCCTGACTCAGTGAACACACAGGGGTCACCAAGCTACAAGGGAAGCTAGGCACTCCCTGAGATGCTCAGAAAGGCCCCACAAGAATGCGGCTCCTGGAGCCCTAGTCCTGGACCCACAGCAATACACTCTAACATTGGCAGATCAGGGCTCCCAGCAACACAGACATGAATCAAGCGTTTCATCATTTTCCTCCCTCATCTACCTTCAGACACAGAGTGAAAAAGCCAAAGGTGGGCAATAGAGAAGTGTGTTCCGCTGTACTCAGGTTAGAGCTGGCCAGAAATGGAATTCTATTATCCAACTTATATTTTAAATGTAATATAAATAGAATGGAGTGGGGTGTGTTAACACTAAAATGTCTCTACTACATTCTTTGGTCACATCTTTGTAGAAAAATCAGTTGCTGTTTGTTGGATTTACTTAAAACAGGTAGTTTGCAGTAGCAAAGGCAGTTAAGTGTTTTCGAGACAATCCACTAATAATCGCACACTTCACCAACAGTCTTGGGTCCAAATCAAGGTTTGGTTTCTTAAACAAGCAATCAAAGAAAACAAACCATTTCTTTTCTGGAGATGACATGACCATACAGCATGAGGCTTACAACAAATGGTCTGTTATAGATACTATTCACACACACTCCCTGAATGCTTAAATCATCAGTGAGAAAGAACAACAGATGAAGTCTGGAGCCCTAAGAACTTGTGCCTGCCTTACCTCCCTACCCCAACAAGCTGTCAGTTTCCCAAAAGTGAATCTCATTTTCTGGAAGTTGACTTATGTCCAAAATCCTAAATGAGAGGCAAGCATAGTAACTCGGAAAAAAATCACAGAAGATGACCAATGTCCAGGACCTTGATCCTGGCAAATCTTCATAGGTTAATAATCAGGTACACTGAAATGAGAAAAAACAATGTTTTGCTATAATTTTAGGAGCTACCTATTATTCCAACTGTATTTCTTGTCTTTGGTTGGGTGAATTACAATCTTTTTAGAAGGTTTTCAAATGGATTTCCCTAAAAAATTCAAAGTGAGGTTATGATCCTATTTTTTCTAATGAAACCACCACCTATATTATTTAAACATATATGAACGAACACTGGAATTTCAAAGCAAATGTCATGAACTTATTACACTCGCTGTATAGACAGGAACATGAAAAGGCTAATATTTATAAGTCTTTGTGTGTAGAAAAAGAATTGGAAGTTGGAAATATTTGGGAGAAAAATTCCACATGCAAGGCAGACATCCAAAATGGCTCAACATAATTTATTTTTTTTATGTTAAAATGTACAGAGTTCTTTTGAAAGTACTTGCTAGAAAGGGGGAAAAAAAGTGATATTACATACAAGGAGAGGAAGGGAGACTGACTGGCCCAGGAGCGCGTGACACGGAGGAATACAAAGGCATCTGGGCACCCCTTCCCCTCAGCCCACAAGTCACCAGGAACGAAGTACAAAGAGGCTACAAAACAGGAAAAGCAAATATAAACAGACAGGAATAGACTTAGCTTCATTTGTACATGCGGCTTTTAGAGGCATCTGGAGCTCTATTCACACACTCTAGAGATCTCTTTAAAGAGAATTTTTATCTTTCTTAAAATAGTTTTTAATATTCTACAACAAAGATAAAAAATTTTAAAGATGGAATGAAATGAAAAAGCTCTTATTTTAAAAGGCATCAAAGTCACTAATAGTGAGTTTTTAAATTTCTCTTTTAGAAGATTACCCAAGTTATCTTGCTAAAAATACATTTTTTTTTAAACAGAAGTGAAAAAATGACAGGTACCAATATTACTGTGTTGGATCATTTCTTTCATAATATAGAAAAGAACATTTTTCTCTACAATAGTTCTACAGTCACAAAAAGGCTTGTGGAAAAGGGAGCTGCCCGATTGAAATTTTCTTTTTAAGAAAGAAACAAAACCAAACACAACCGCAAACCAACAGAAACGGAATTCACGGCCCTCATTTCAACAGCTTCTCCTTCTGCCTTGACCCACCCTCCTCCCGATATACCTCCCTCCCAACCCCACCCCATCCCCACCCCAACCAGGAAGCAATGACAGAGCTGAAGATGTAGGGAGAGGGCAGCACAGTGCACTTTCTACATAGGTGACCAGAAATTGGGAGAGTATATACAGAGAAACTGGGTCCTACACAGCCTTGCACATGCTCAGAACTGACAGCGGTAAGATGTGGGGTTCTGCCTTTTTCTACCTAACACATTTAATTGAGAAAGTCAATTAAAGTGTATAAAAAAAACCAACAAACCTGTGCGTTTGAAAATTTTAATGTCTAATTAGTACTTCAAAAATGTATCTATATAAAAATGTACAAATGAAGGAGAGAATTTAATGCTTACAGGTATTTGTTTAAGCATTCCCCCTTTTGGATATTTGACTGCACATACCGAGTGGTATAATAGTTTCCATCTTCAAATGATGGAACATATATATATGTGTGTGTATATATATATATATATAATTTTTTTTACCTATCCCTGGAGCGAGTAATAGGAAGAGAATGAGCAAACTGGCTGCACAAGAGAAAAGAGAAGGGAGTTGGGAGCAACATAGGAGCCTGCTAAAACCCTGCTGTCCAGATTTGCCCTACTATGCTGGTGGTTGGTTTATCCCTCTTCTCTCAGCCACTCGCAGGCGAGGGGCTGGTGCACTCCGATTCACAGAGGATGAACTCAGGATCTCAAAGGACAAATAAAAACCAGAGGTATGTTATCACTTAAGTAGCCATAAAACTCACACATGGTCTCCCTTATGACACACATTCAGCGTCATCTCTTCCAACATAACATAAACAGTGTCAAAGGTTTGTCAGGTATTTTTCAAATCACTGAAATGTACAGTCATCCACCAACACTTCACCTAAGAATGTAAAAGGCTTATCACTGGGGACTGCTGTTTGAGTTTAATCAAAAGCTCAAGAATCTAGACCCTTAGCATCTCAAAGTACATACTAAAAACAAGAGGCTGTGTGGAATATGTGCAGTATGGCTGATTCACCAGGTGGTAAAAAACGAGGTTAATTTCCTCTTTTGATTGTTAATTGACCATCTCTATTCCTTCAAGGCTGGATTAGGATTGCAAACAGCTTTCTTCTGAGATTCTGCTGTTAATTGAGACTTACAGTGTTTTTGTGTCTCTGAGTGCTGAGTGGGCATAGTTTAAAAACAATTATATTACACTTGATTTAAGAAAAACATTTCAATGAAGTCCACCTATAAAGAAACATTCTCGGGGAAAGGTTTCAAGAGGTTTGTGTGTATGCAGGGAGTGGAGGGGATTTTGAAAGGAGAGCATTTTCCTGCCTCACTTTATTAATAATAATAATAATAATATTAACAATATAATAAGTTTAAGGAGCTTGGTTGTTCTCCATGTCCCCGTCCAATCTCCCCTAAGTGCCTCCTGCTGGAATGAAGAAGGAAATGCAAGGTTGGGTTTGGAGGAAAGGGTCCGGTTAACCCTAGAGATGTATATATAACATTTAAAAATGACAACATTGGGAGCTGCAACAGTGAGGGGAAACACACATTTTAAAATTAAAAATAAAGATAAGTCACTTTTACACAAATTCTGTCCATGTGGTGTGTAAAGAAAGTAAGGCTCTTTTTAATTATGAAAAGATTTTTGTGCATGTTTTCCCTATCCCCAAATCCATTTCTAGATGAGTTCTATTGTAAAATGTTCAAGATTATGAAGAAAACCAAAACCCAGAACAAAATAAACCCAAAAAAAGAGATCAGGTTTTCTAAAAAATAAAAATAAACCAAAGAAAAATTCCTCTAAATCTACAGCAATATTTTAACTGGAAAAAAGGTCCATTTTTCTCTGGTCTGTCAGTATAAAAGGCTCCTTTGTCCCTATGTACTGAAGGCTGAGCGCAAGCCGCTCTGCTCATCTCCTCATGTACGGGCCGTTGAGCGACTGCTTGGGCACACCCGTGGCGTTCATGTAGCTGTGGTGCGAGGGGCCCGCATACATCATGTTTCCATGAGGGTTTGGCTGCATGGGCTGCTGGGGGTAGGCCTGGCTCCCCATCATCCCCATCTGCATCTGCATAGGGTACTGTGCTGTCTGGTTCATGTAGGCAGGGTTACTGTGGTAACTGCTGTTCATCATGGGCTGCGTCATTCGATAACTGTTCATGGCGTTCAAGGTATTCATATTCATGGAATTGACGTTATAAGCGGGGGTTGGCATCAAATTCACCCCCATGTTCATGCCACGCTGAACAGCGAGTGCACGCGGGCCAGCCTGCATGGCCACGGCTGAGGGGCTGCGGCCGTACAGCTGCTGCTGGTGAGCAGCCGCAGAGGGCAGCGGTGCCGATTTGGAGCGGATGGAAATGTGCCCCTTGACTGGCATCTGCCCTTGCAGCCTCTGAGTGTGAGGAATGCCAATGTTGGTGGCAGACATGTTGCACTGCAGCAGAGGCGACGTGAGGTTCATGGTGGTGGATGCCAAGTTCGGGGGCGGCGTCATGGTGGCTTGTGCTTGAGGGCCCCCAGCTAAGGGATGGGACGGAGCTAGCTGAGCCAGGCCCGTGTTAGACAGAGAAACACTGGTTGCATAGGAGGTCACGGCAGGGGAATGGCTATAAGGCATGGCATGAGGGTCCATAATGGTGTTAGTCAGCTGCTGCAACTTGGCCAAGCTGAAGGTGGCCGACGGCTGCGAGTAGCCGCTCGCCCCGAAGTCCCCCGGAATCCTCTCGTAGATGCTTATGTTGGCGGCGCTTCCGGACTCCGGGATCTCCATGATCATGGGCGCAGGCGTGAAACTGTTGTTCATACTGCACTGCGACAGCGGGGGCTGCTGTGGCGGTGGCTGCGGGGGCTGCGGCGGCGGTGGAGGCTGGGGAGGCGGCTGCGGTGCAGGCTGCGGTGGCGGCGGTGGCGGCGGCGGCTGCGGAGGCTGCGGCGGTGGCGGCGGCGGCTGCTGGTTGCTGGGGGGCCTCTCCACCACGCAGCTCTGCGGGGACTTGATGCTGCAGTTGGCGGTGGGCTGCACGCCGTTCTGCTGCATCAGGCTGCAGCTGCTGCCCATGTTTGCCATCTGCTGGGTGACAACACAGCTGTTCTGGGTGAGGCTGCTGGAGGACGACAGCCCCCCATAGGAGCAGCTGCTCTGGGAGGAGTTATTCCCACAGATGCTGCCGCCCATCGTGGAGTCATAGCTGCTGGGGTTCTCGTAGTTCTCCGTGGTGCTCTCAATGCTACCCAGGTCACTGAAGCCGCTGTCCACCACCTGCTGCGAGTGGTCGGACACGGAAGGCACATCCATCATGGGGCTAGTCTCCAGGTTCTGCATAGACGGGGCGGACAGGGACCCCTGTTCCGGGCTGATTTGCGTGTAGCCACTTTCCAGGGCAGGCACGCTGGGACTGCTGACAGAGCGGACAGACTGGCTGGGGTGGGACTGCACAGAGGACATGGGGCTGTTATGCTCTGAGGCATGGCAGTCTTCAACCATGGACATCTGAGGGTCCTCCTCTGCCTGGGTGTAACTCTGCAGGGTCTGACAAGCCGCCAGAGTCTCTTCACAGTCCTGGTAGGCGCCCTCGTGCTCATTACTTTCTTCTTGAGTCAAGGACTGCACTGCTTGCACAGTTTCCAGGTCCAGGTCACTATGAGGAATCTCTTCCTCCTCTTTTAACTCAACTAATTCTTCTTTAGCGTTTGAATCTTCTTCGTGATCGTCCTCGGACCCCGGCATGGGCTCCGACACCACGGAGGTGTCATGGGAAGTCTGCTCCTCTTCAGACTCCAGCTCTGTCTCGTCTTTGTCCTTTATATTCTCCCTACTGCTCTGCATGTTAGTATCTAAAAAAGACTCCTGGCCACCAGGCTCCTCTTTGACATCTTCCGCGGCGGGCGGCTCCTCTGGCTCTTTTTTCTCTGCAGATTCCAAATGGCCGTCATCTTCATCATCTGCATCGCGGTCCTCGTTCTGGGTCATCTCCACAGCCGCTTCCTCCTCCTCCTCATGCTCCTGCTCTTCCGGCTCCTGCGGCTCTTCCTCGGACTGCCTCTGCTCTCCAGAGACCCGGGGCCTCTCGTCGTCGTCCTCCGCCCCGGGTTCCCTGGCTCCCGCGTCGGGGCTGTTACTGCTCTCCACGGGAGACGCTGCTCTCACCCCACTGCTGGCTGTGTCTTCCTCTTCCCCGTCTTCAATCTCTTCAGCGTCCACGTGCATCTCTTCCTCTTCCCTTCTCTCTTCAGTTAAAGTCAAGTCTTCTTTTGGTTCAATAGTTTCTTCATTCTCTTGAATTTTGGGTCTACGTCCAGGTTTAGGAATGGGGACAATGGGCTCAACAATGCATCCTTGACTAGACACAGATAGGATTTCTCGGTTCAACCTAAATCCTGGTTTGCGACCAGGTCTTTTCTTCCAGTGGATGGGTTTGCGGCTCTTGCCTTTGGGCCACCCCTTTTTCTTTTTCATAGGTGTGGAAGTATCTGGCTCAAGTGGAGAATCCTTCACATCACATTTTCTCAAGAGAGATACTGGCTTTAGGATAGGAGTATCTGTACAGAAGGGATGGAAAATAAGAACAGGTTACGAGAGCTTATATTTTCTAGAGCCTTTTTCCTGAGACCATATATACAACAGAAATTTTTCTGTTGTAACTAATCACCACAAACTCCTATCTTCATTTTCAAGTTAAGAATTTAAAGGAGAAACCTAATTAGTGTCATTGAAGGAACAAAGAATCCTGGTCCACATTCTGTTACCATCCACTAGTTAAAACCAGTTTAACATCACCAACTGTATGGCATTGGGAATTTAAGACTCATTTGCATCATCTATAAACTGGAGATAAGCTTTATAAAGATGCAAATACCACGAAGTCATTACAACTACTTAAAATAAGTTGTCTTTACTGTGTAAGTTACAAATCAGCTCATTTCTTGTTATGCATTTTTTTTCTGTTTGCGATTTATATTGTCTCTTTTCTTTTTCAAGTTTCCACAAAATCATTACCTCAGACAACACCATGAGTCAATTATTCCAGGCCATGACTGAGAAATCCTAACATGAATAAATGTTCAATCAATGTCATGTTTGTAGGGAAATAGCTGAAAGGCATTTAGCCCTGGACACTGACCTGAAGAAAAAGTTAGTTTATTAGAAATAAATTTAATATGAGCGTTATTTTCTCCCTGTGATTTTTTCTTTAAAAAATTGTAGTAAAATATGCATAGCATGTCATTTAACACTTGACCATTTTGGGTTATACAGATTCATGTGGCATTAAGTAAATTCACATTTCCCATAAATTTTTAAAAGGAAGAGCACCAAGGCAAGAACAGGATTTGGGGAAAGAGCTAAAAAGGTATATACAGCTAACAGCAATAACCTGAAAATAAACAGGAAATGGCTGCATCACAGAAAATTGGTCCAAGTCAGCAGGAACAAACAGTGGATACTCTTTTAGTTTACAATGTAGAATTTCACTAAAGAGTCACACTGACACAATAAAGTTTTAGTTTCCTACTTATACATCTCAAAATATAATAAAACTCTGAAAAATCATTCACAAGAAAGTACTCAATCATCTTATCAGTATATGAAAAGTATCTGTCACATAAAAATAGGAGATTGGAGAAAATTCAAGTTCTCTACCAGATCTGAAACTGAGTGAATATATTTTTAAAAGGAAAATAAAAAGCTCAACAGTTAATACGTAAGAGCTATGTGTCCACCAAGGCTGGACAGCTGGATTCCTTCTAATTCACCCAGTGAAGTAAAAAAGTCCAGTTTGCCCCCACGTAAGCTGCAGACACGGGCAGTATGACACACTGGCAAACACTTGAGATCAGGATGTCGATGACTATTTGTGACCCAACTCATATATAAGCCCCTATTTCTTTATCTCTAAAGAGAAAATGACAACAAGTATTTTAAAAATAAATCACTGTATTTTTAGCTATGCCCTTTAATCTCACCTATCCTGAGGGACAGCTGCCATTTTTACTTGAAATTTACTACTAGCTGAGTAGCCACATTAGAGAGATGATTCAGGAAGCGTTTCTGAACATATCTGAAGCAAGTCCAAGTTACATGGATCTGATCTTACTTAAAAACCATCTTCCTGGCATTTATTCATTTAAAAATATTGAGTGCCTAATTAAGCACTCAACATATGACAGTTAGCAAAATAGGTAAGCCCACAGAGTACACGTCCCAGTACGGAGGTGTTAGTTGAGTATCTTCCTATGCTAAGTCCATCAACTAAAGATTCACAGAATGGGTGAGAAAGGATTAGGTAAAAAAGAACAACTTCCTAACAGTTTGCTATTTTCTGTAGAGGCAAAAATAGGTCCTGAGTTGAAGGGTAAACTAGAAAAAACACTTTTTTAAAAGGACAGAGAACTAAAGGAGATAAGGAGGATGAAAATACTTGATACGACTATTATTTAGAGATCACCTTTCCTTGCCTGGTGGGCTGTGTGTGTTTCTCAGCCCTTCTGCTGAGCAGACACCACCTACCTTTGCTCTTTGAATCGGACAATAAAACTACTGAGGGCAACAGTCCTCTAAGACATACCATCAGCATCATCTGACTCTTCATCATCATCTTCATCTCTAGATGGCCTCTGTGAAGAGGACCGACACCTGAGGACATCCTGGGAGGACAGGCGACGGAAGTACCCTTGAGAGAAGAGCTCGCTGTCATCCTCTTCCTCCTCCTCCTCCTCCATCTCAAACGTGGGCTCTAACCTTGGCATGGGCCTCTCGGAGTCAGAGTCTTCAAAGGGCTCGTCCAATACCTCTGTAGTCTCAGAAATGGTTTCTGTGACCACACTGCTGTTGTGGTGTTTGCGTTTCCGGACTCTCCGTCTTCGGTGAAGAATTGGCTTCTATTTAAAAGAGGAAGTATTTTATTTACAGTCATGAACACTCTCACTTCCATTAACAATATGGTGAGTAGTTTTTAAACTTAATAGAACTGGCATATGTAAAATGAAAATGCTGTTTGCCTAAGGACATTCTGGGTGCTATTTCAAAATGCTCTAGTGCAATGCTATCCATCAGGTACCACAAGCACGGAGCTGAATGCAGCTCCGTGAAAGGACAGGCAGGTGGGCTGCCAGAGCAGATGCCCTAACCACCCCCACTCCCACCCCATCAGCCACTGAGTTCAACTTAACACTCAGGGGAGCCACCTGCTGTGGTACTGAAGCCGCAGAGGCTAGTCCTGTAACTTCTCTTTTCCTCAAGAGAAAAAAAAGGAGTGAGATACTTTGTATGTCTCACAGCTGTACTAGGAAGATCGGCAGAACTATCACAAGGCTGGATGGCGTTTTTAAGAGCTTCCCACAGAGGTAGAGTAGAATGTAAAACTATGGAGCCGATAGGTATCAACTTGATGTTAGTGAAGCATTTCAGGAGCAAAAAAATTTGTTATGGGAACTTGGCACCTTAGGTACAATTCCGTAGTAGGGACGATCCAATAACTTAAACTACACAAGAGATTTCACAAAATAATAAAGATGATACACCAGAAATGATCCAATTCAGTCCCCTCACTGGAGAGGCCAGAAAGGTTACAGGCCTTGCTTGAAGTCACACATCCAGTGAGTATAGAAAAGGTTGTAAAATGTAGTCTGACTCCCAGTCAAGTGAATTTCTTCAAGAACTTCAAAAGGACTCTGTATATGATCTCATTGCCTGTTACAATATTCTCTTTTCTACACAGGGAAGTGGCATAGTTTTATATTATAAATAGGCCTAGTATGGCAAAGATATATTCTTCATGGTCAAATAATGAATAGCAGTTAGTATTTAATTTTTCTCCAAATTCACTAGTCCTTCAAGCTGTGAATGCAGTTTTCACACTAGGTTAAAACATGGCCCTGCTCTTTGGAGAAATACCTGATTCTAAGAACACAGCAGGAAATACACAACTGTAGTACCAAAATTTAAAGAAGTGCTCCACACAATGTGACTTCACCATGGTGAAGGCCTGTGCATTAAAGCAAAACTGCAAGAGCTCCTCCTTGGCTAAAACTAGAACAATCTGAGCAACCCATCACATAAAATTGTAGCGGCAGTAGTGGTGACGGTGGTGGTAGTCGTGGTGGAGTGCTATTCAGATTGTAAAGCCCCTTTCTGTGGTGCACACGATGTACATAAAGGACTTAATGAATAAATAGATGTGGAACAACCGGCCACTCTTCCAAGCACAGCTCCAAGTAATTACCACAGATATGAGGCTTTGAAGGAGTGGAGTAAAGGCCCTGTATCTTATATGTGGGCTGGGGACAGTGACTTCCTTTCAGAGAGCACAGTATGGAAATGGGGGGAAGAATTATAATTTGTCAGTGGAGAAACTTCACCAACACAGCCTCAAGCCAGGTGATGAGGTTTACACCAATACTGAAAATTCACATAAAGAGTATTACACCCTGAATTTGGTAGACAGATACACTGACAGTAGACACCCTTTGTAAGATGTGATGAGAAGGACACTTACCTCTGTGGTCTTTCTCCCAAAAACCCCTGACCCTCCCTAGTGTCACGAGGGACTTTCTACAAAGTACCTCACCAGCACTCCTCAAAACTGTCACAGTTGTCAGAAACAAGGGAGTATGAGAAACTGCCACAACCAAGAGAGACGTAGAGAGCTGTGACTACTAGATGCACTATGGTGTGCTGAATGGGGTCCTGGCACAGAAGAAGGGCAGCAGGGAAAACTGATGAGATCTGAATGAAGTATGGATCCTAGTTAATATGTGTCAATACTGGCTCACTATTTGTGACAAATGTACCACACCAACATAAGGGGTTAATAACAGGGGAAACGGGGTATGGGAATACAGGAACTCTCCATACTTTCTTAGAAATAACTCTGTAAATCTAAACTGTTCTAAAATGAAAAGCTTATTTTTTTTATAAAGAGTCCTACTTTATTTCTTGGTGAGGCACTGCTAAGGAAAGGAACTATTTCACTGCTTTGGACAATAGCTGTCACCCCATTACTACAGGGTGGCCCATCCCAGGAGCTGGCATACCTCAGTCTGGCTGGCTTGTGGCAATGCCTAAAGTTCACTCCGCTGGTGCACAGTTTAACTGAACTTGTTATCACCATCCCATAGCATTTATTAATAAACTGGCTATCAGTCAAACTTTGCAAGATGATGAAATACAGTTTAGAAAGTATTTGTAAAACAAGGTTAAGTCACACCCCCAGAGGGCTGAAGGCGAGACAGAGAAGGCAGGAGTGAGTACAAGGGAAGAGCACCGCCCCAGATGAGGTGAATGGTTTCGCTCTGAGCACCCCAACACAGGCACCATGGCTGTGTCCACGTACCACTGAACATTGTACACATTCCTCCCCTTCTCGAATAAATACTTTCAATCTGCACATACTTAAAAAATTATTTTTTAAATTCCTGAAAGTCATGATTTCAATTTCAAGCCAGGAAGGTGAAAAACAGCTTGTCAGCCCTTAAGTAAGTTATTACTTCTAAGCTAATCCCCATGAACCAAAGCTGTCATATATACATTGTACATGTCCACTGGAAAGAACATAAGCTACAATACACTGAGGCTTAAAATCTAAAACCAGCACACTAAGAAGTTCTGTATTTACTTTTTAGAACTCTGGGATAAAACAAATGTGCACAACAAACTGCGACTGGAGGAAAAGAAGCTGCAGAAAGCCGTACCTTCCGCTTCAGGGTGGGCTTTGTAAGGACTGGCGGCGAGCTGGAGCGGGGACTCTCCAGCTCCTCCTCCTCCTCGCTGCTCTCACTGAAGCCCCTGAGCAGAGCCCTGTCGCCCTCGCTGTAGCGGCGGGGCAGCCGGCCATTGCCCTCCGGCAGCCTACACTTCAGAGCCTCCGGGCTTGTCCTCAGCTGTCCCCGCCACAGCTCAACCCCCTCACTCAGTCTTCTTTTGGGAAGGTCTGGCTTCCCTTCCTGGCTTGGCTGCTCCTGAGAGGCTGCCAACGGCTCCTCACTTGCAGGATACTGTTCTTGGGAGAATTCTGATTTTTCCTCACATTCTCCATATTGTTCTTGAGGAGCTGACGTCTCTTCCAAGAGCAGTTTCAAATCCGTGTCACCAAAATGCTCCTGGGCTTTTCTGTTCTTCCTTCCCCAGCGGCCTCTCCGAGACGGCTGACTATTTGCAGGAAGACTATCACGGGAAAGGGCTGGTTTGTTCAAACGGGTAGAACTGGCTGGCACCATCACTTCTGGCTTCTTCTCAGTTTCTACTGGAGAATAAGAATCTTGTTCTTTGTTCTCTCGAGATGCAGACTTTCCCACCTGGTTTTAGAAAATAAAACCATGCTAGTTAATCTTCAGTCTTATTTGGTTCTATCTCCTATTCTGACCTTTTAAATACTGAGATATGAAAAGAGAGTTTTAAAAAGAAAATTATTAATTATTTAACAGCTAACAGGACTACTCTGTTAGGCACTGTTTAAATGCTTTATAGGTATTCATTTAATCTCCACAATGACTGTATAAAGTACTATATCCCCATTTTACAAATGAGGTAAGTGAGACACAAAAAATTAAGTAACTTGCCACAGGTCACATGGGAGCAAACACAGAAGCTGGGATATAAACCCAGGCAGTGTGACCCAGGAGCTAGTGCTCTTAACCACTGCAACACTGTCATCAATAAACATTACTGTGAATATTACTGTTCTTATGGATGTTAAGTGAGAGAGCTTATGAAATTTCTCAGAAATAAATTTTATAAACAGAGGGGCAATGGGCTCTTGGGCATGGGCAAGAGAAAGGGGTGTTTAAGAAAAATGAAAGAAAATTTCTGTAATTCTGACTTATTTTTATTCTGAATAATTTCATTTTAAAAATTAAATTACATTAAACAGGGGCATCAATTGTTAATGTTTATCAAAGGAAAACAAACTTTTAAAGGATGAAAGTACTGCTTAAAAAAAAAAGAGGACAGTGTCATCACATGACGAAAAATGCTCAAAGCTGCACAATATAATACAGTGAGTGCCTCACTGACCCTTTGATGGCTAGACATCTGCATGCCCACTGAAGTACTTAGTGTTCTAGTAGAAAACATTCACATTTACATTATTTTCTTAATGTTTTACTTTAAGGAAAATGTATCTTCATTTCATTTTTAACAATGGTCAGATTTAGACTCAATTCAGATTCCTCAATTATGTGTACAATTACTAAATTAAAATTTAGCTGCTTAATGGCAATTTGGTAAGAAATATTCAGTCATAAGTAACACACTATAACAAATTTGAAGATTTCTAAATGATCCAAGGTTTAAAAATATACAAGTAAAAAAACTCAGTCTTCCTAAAATTTCTATCACTGAGATAAACTGAAATTCTAACGTGAATGCCCTGTATTGGTTTATGATATCATGATAATGTATCTCACAAATACTCATGAAAACCAAAAATATATCCTTGTGTCATCAAAAGTAAGACTACTCATGCCCTTACACTAGTCTCTAGGTCCCTTTCTTGGCACTGCGGCTCTTCATTTTCTCCTTCCTCAGGCTCCTCTTCTTCCTCCTCTGAGACAACAGAATTGGACACTATGATGGGAGTCCAGCGCAAACATTCTGGATCGACATCTACAGGTCGCAAATTCAGCTGAAGCTTTGTCATGTGATCCTGGATAAGTTTTTCCCGGCGGATAATCACAAATCTGAAACCAGAGAAAAGTTTATAGCAATCAACGATGCACAGTGAGGACTAACAGTGAGTATGACCAGTAACTCCCAGAGAACCCTAAAGATGATGCTAAATGCATCAAAGATGGCCTGTGTGGGCAGATGAAATACAGAAATATGCTACCTCATGATATAACTAAGAAAAAACACTTCATGCTCAACTACAGCAACAGAAAAGGTTATGTTAGCCATTTATTGTCTCACATTTTCCACCTCGAATTTCTGCTACTCTTCTGCTCGTACTCTAGCCCCTATTCTCCATCCCACTGATACTCTAGCCCCTATTGACCCAAACGCCTCTTTTCTTTGTGACCTTTTCCCAGCCACTCAAGATAAGGGTGAATTGTCTTTCCCTTGATCTACATTTCATTTTGTACCATTTATGCGCAAATACATCACAGGCACATTTTATTTGACATTATTTCTAGAGCTGTTTTGTGAAGGAGCTCCCAGTACTAGAAAATAAAAGATTCGGTAGCTTAAATCCAAAAGTTAGGAAGAAGACCAGAAAAAATAGTTTAAAAAATTAGGTCAACAGTATCAGACAAGCATCACAGAGAGGAGGAGGATGCCTCAGGGCCAACCCAGTGCACCACTTAGGTTAGTTTATACTCTTTCATCGATACTTGGCTACCTGGTCCCAAAGTTCCCACCTAGTTATCTTTCAAAGGTATTCCAAGGGATGTGATACTCACTGGTCACTACGGAAGTCCAGCATTCGTAGGTGGTGGAGTGTAGAAGTAATGTCTTGAGGGCAGATTCCGGTTAACTTGCTTAACTTCTTGATGCTGATTTGCCTGTCATTTTGGTGATAAAGGCACTCCAATATTACACTTTTCCAGTAAGCCATGTAGGAGAGACGCCCTAGATCAGATAATGGTTTCTCCGGAGATCCTGCTTGGCCTTCACGCTTTGATAACAAATAACCTAAAGAAACCCCCAAATCACAAACATGTCAGAGCCTTAAATAGGCTAATTCAGCAAAATAACAATCCCCTTTCCACAACCAATCTGAGTATCATAGGCAATAATCATTTCAAAGGCAAGTCCTTAAGAAAAAGAACAAAATTACAAAATTTGTATACATTGAACATTATTAGGTTAGTATTACTTTGTCTACAGCTACTATAAGTCACATTGTTCAAACATCCCAACAGTTAAAAAAGTCAGGACTTCATATTAACAGGGTACATTAAAAAGATAAAGGAAAACCACTCTTGCGTGTTTTGTTAGGACCCCTAGATGGCAGCAGCTGTATCTGAACTGAATACAAAAGAATGCCTTCGTTTTCATGTCATCCTATCAAGATAGTGGCTCTTCTGTGAATGAATTTAATGACAATTTCTCACTGCAACCAAAGCCCTCCTCACAATTACCTCTTACTCTAACTGTAAGCAAGAATGTCAGCATGAGGGTGTCACTATGAATATGTGGCGATATGGCTCTGTCTTCTTCTTGTCTAGTGCATGTAACTCACCAACAGGAAAGAAAGGCATAAATTCTAAAGGGAACATTGAAAACGGAGAGGGCAGAAGAAATACAGATTTTGATCATTAAAGAAAACTTTATTAAAAGCAGTCTAAGAATGGTAATGTGGAAAAATTCACTACATTTCAAAAAGTAAGTGGAAACAAACATTGTAATCGTACAGATTGCTATGTATGTCAAAAAAATGACTAGATTAGTGTAATGAAACTTTTCCCCTAACTTTGCTATTTAATGACATAACATGTCCAATCATGAGTCCTACTTCAAAACAATATATTGATATTAAAGTAAATACTCTGAGTTCTACCCTCTACTACTAACCCAAAAAGCCAAGATGTACACAGATTTGTAATAAAATGTGGTCAGGGGAGTCTAAAACCATGTAGAATAAGCTTCTCTGGTCCATATGAGAATTAACATTGGTAATATAATCTCTGATATTTAGAAGAATTGTCTGTATCAAAATCCTTAGTTTGAACCATTCTTCCTGACTATATTCCTTAAATAGTATTTTTAACAATATTTCAGGGAACATATTCCCTTAGATATCACTATTTTATAATCAACATAAAATTTATTACAAATATACATTTACTTTCTAAAAAAGACTATCAATGTATAAAACAAAATTCAAGTTCCACAATGACCTTTTTAGAACTGTTGTCTTTCAATTTTTAAATGAGATTATTTCCTACATCATTTACTTCAAAATATTCTGAAGTTGCACTGCATATTTTAACCGCAAGGTAGAGCCTTAAAAATATTTAAACAATTTAAAAACTTTCAACAATTGCAAATTAAAGATATTTTAATAATATTTATGATATCATGATAATGTATCTCACAAATACTCATGAAAACCAAAAATATATCCTTATGTCATCAAAAGTAAGACTACTCATGTCCTTACACTCGTCTCTAAGTCCCTTTCTTGGGACTATCAATGTATAAAACAAAATTCAAGTTCCACAATGACCATTTTAGAACTGCTGTCTTTTGATTTTTAAATCAGATTATTTCCTATATCATTTACTTCAAAATATTCTGAAGTTGCACTGCATAGTGGTGCACAGAATATAATACACAAAGAGGCAATATATTTTAAATTATACTGAGATACTGAAATAGTCTACTAACAGAATCACACAGACATTCGTATTCAATATTAACTATTTAAAAATATTTCATGTCCAACAAAAAAAAAAAGGCTTTAGGTTTTAAAGTCCCCCATATAGCAGTATGACAAAAGATACTAGCAACTAGTAAATTATCTACAAATCTTTAAAAATATGTATAAAGAAAGTATACAGAAAGAGATAATGAGAAATTATGTTCTTATAATCCTTACTGAAATCGATGAGAAACCTGCCATAGCCCTTACGCTGGTATTGGGGAAGAATCATTATACAGGAAACGTTGTATTTCTGTTGGCAGTGCTTTTCCTGGTGGAGAAATTATAAACCAAGTTTTAAAACAACAGGCTCGTCTAAGACTGAATAGTAATGCTAATTATTAAGAAACAATGACTAACAATCACAACCACAGTCCTGGTCCTTTAGGAATAGCAACATACATCAAGAAAAAAATGTCCCACAGGGAGGAGAGATGATAATGTTAAGTCATTACCATTACCTCACAAAGCAACCATCACAGGAGAATAAAAATGAAAAATAAAATTATGCTATCCAACACCATCTGCAACTTGAAAACAGCTGCCTAAAATGACAGAGGACTCTGAGTCCCAATCAATCTGCAAGGTCACAAATGGTCACAGTGGCACTCGAGAAGTGGGACAATTCATCAACTATTTAAAAGATTCTTTTATTACCTGCTCTGGTGCTACACAGGGCATTCCCACAACGCCCATTTAGTTGTACCTAAGTTTACAAAAAATATTCTCAAAATGTTGGGTACAAACACACATTTACAAATCAGGCAATATATTTAAATTATACTGAGATACTGAAATAGTCTACTAACAGAATTCTTACAAAGCTAGTACTTTCCACTTATTATTTTATACACTTAGATTTTACCATGGGCTTGCTTAAACAAAAGTACGTTTTATGTTGTTTGACTACAAAAGAAACTTTTTTTCTCCCTAAGAGAATGGAAGACTAAAGGAAAGAGAAAACTATCCTTTAATAAAAATGGCTTATTCTTATTTCTATGCCTAAAATTCAAATTAGGGAGAGAAGATTTAAACTGAGAAAGAACTCAGAGAGATAATGCCTGTGTTTATTTCCCAAGTTCTAGCTCTTGTCACCAGGGAACAGAAGTCATTTTAAAACTTATCCTCTTGAGTATAACTAGCAGTTCAAGTTCCTGGGAGAGTACAGTCTGTTGAACATTATCAGGCACCTTCTAGCACTGGGTACATTTCTGAAGTCCCTTCTATTTCCCTTTCCAGAAAGCAACAATGGCACCCAGAAGGCGCTGCATGCTGTAGTGTCCCCTAGTTAGAAGCAGCAAATATTGTTTCAGATTTTCATATGAACTCAAATAAATATTAAGTGGATATACTTACTTTAGAAAAGTAGCCAACAAGGTGGCAGCCCTTGACATCATTCTGTGTGAGTACATAAAAAAGAAATGGCTCCACGTCATAATAGAGTGTCTTGTGGTCAAGAAACAACTTTGCCAAGAGACACAGGTTCTGACAATAAATGGTACTCACATTCCCATCAACCTGGAGGAAAATAACAGAACAAAATGGTCAGTGGTGTCTCGTTAGCTCTAGAACAATACACATCAGCTACAAGCACCTTTGAATATCCACAGTCCAGCCTAAGAGAAGCTGTCAGTGTCAGAATCTGGACACTGTCCCTTGAAATAGCAGAAGTGTGGTACCTGCTGTTTTACAATAACTAAGTATACAAAACACTGTTACTTCAACAAAGTATGAATACCTATATAAGGAGATGATGATGGTTTTAAAAATAGCACTTTTTGCTTCCCTAAGATTGCAGAAATCCTTCAGAGGGCAAGCTGATTTGGTTCACTTTTTAAAGTATTTAATTCAGTAAGAGATCTAAATGCAACCTCTTCTAAAATACATTTGTTAAGTAAAACAAGGTATAACTATGATGTGACCTGTGCCAGTGGCCAGAAGCAATGGAGTCTGACTGTTATAATCAGATTTACCCCCAAAATAAAGCTACTTGAGGGAGCATTAGCTATAGTCAGAAGCACCAAGCAGGTTCCCAGTAGCAACCTGGCAAATGAGGTTATTTCTTGGACTCAGGCTGGTGGGGATCGGGAGCACCACTTTATGTTGCTCCTGAAGTTGCTGGAGCTTGCTCTTTCATGAAAATGCCCATGAGTGCCCACCTTAGACACAAGACATTGATATTTCAAGACTGAAATCTCCTCAACAGCTAAGTAATTTAACTTACTTGTTTTAAAAGGTGAGAAGCAATTTGCTCTTTGGTATTCTTAGAGAGCATTGTAAACCACACCCTTTCTCCTTCCCTCAAAGTGAAGAGATTTAATTCCTCACTGAAAATAAAAGCTTACTTAGGGAAAATCAAGACAGTTAAAGAGTAAATAGATCCTGACAATCTGAAAGTCTAACATCAATAATTAACAAAACTGAGCACATGGCAGATAATTAATAATGGACAATCATACCACAGAACTGGGAGTGAAGAAATTAAAAACCACTACTGACAACACAGAATCACAGACAGAGCATAAGTCGCATCATCATGATGAAGACAGGAAAATACATTTGGATTTACTACAGCTATTAAATACACTTCCATAAAATATTCCTTTAAATAGAGCAACAGACAGTTACTTGTTTAAATATTGTATTTTATAGATTCCAAGACACATTAGATTTTATCACATCTAAACATAGGTAAAATCAGTTGGTATTTATAACCAAATGGAGTCTTTATAAATCATAATTAGCAGTCCTTTTTCCTTTTTATTGGTACATAGAATATAAGATATAATTGATGTCTTTAATGAAACACAAGAGTAATTTATTCTGATATGAAGGTTTGTGAACTTGGCACCGTCTGGACTGGCCTAATTCTGCTTCTCATAGAGCTCGATTATCTGACTCAACAGTGAGTACACCAGTGAAACACCACTTCAAGACAGACAAAATCTCAGAGCTAGATCCAGTCCAGGGTCACTGTATTTGAAATGGACAGGAAGACAACTAGCAAACATCTACTTTACCTCAAAGACAGAAATATTATTCTTTCTGTAAATCTCATTGGCAGGAGGATGGAACCAACCACATTTCTTCATGTGCTGCTGTAGAATGGTTCTGCTTTTCATGTATTTTAGACAGAATTCACAAAGATACAGTTTAGGCAGCCTGTAATAGTAATTAAACAAAAAAAAGACAGGGCTTTATATTTTAAAAACTTTAAACTTGCACAACTATTCTTTTCCGACTCTCATTACTACCCAGGTAAAAAGATAAGAGAATGTATCATTATCCCTATTAGTCAAACAAAGAGAGAGAAAATCCAAAAAATCTAAAGATAAACCTAATTTGGATAACAGTATCCAACTAACTAACAGAAGAATGGCAAGGGTGAGAAATCAAGACACCTAATTCAGGGCTCTTCCTATTAAGTTAATACCTTCCAGTCTTTTTAAAAGTTACCCGCTTGACAGACATGACAATCTCACATTCTTTCTTCCCTGATAATCTCCAGTAATCAGAAGATGAAAACCTACCTTCAGAATATACCAGTAAGTAAAGGAGATTTGGGTCAGGCTATATATTCTTTCTTCCTTTATTTGATCATTTATTTATTCATTTCAGAAAATAAACATTTATTGAATACTTATTGTGTGACAGGCCCGGTGCTTAAGTACACTAGGTATAGGGAGCTGAATAAAATGGACGTATAGTGGGCACTACAAAAAAAGATTGTGTATATCTTTTAAAGTATAAAATTGTATTATAATATTAAATATGTTTTTTGAAGTTAGGACATACTGTACTATCTCCTTTCTTCTACCCTGAAATTCTGGCTTTCCCTCTGGTTAAATATGATATTAAATCCTGCAACTCAAAAGTCTACTATTCAACAAAAGAAATAAAAGTTCAAATTCTATTTTCTGATGTTCTCTGTTATTAACTTATATTTATTTAGTAGTCTTGCTATTTAAGAACTTCTTAACAGAACTTCTTCCTTACAATGTCCCTTTTATGAGTAGGCAATAAAGTGATTAATTAAGATCAGCTCCTAAAGTAATGAAAGGAACATATCCTGAGTCAAACCCAGTGACTTTTATACCTATTTTAGTCTGAACCCAGAAGACCACATGGCTCTTCTGTTATAAAATACAGACTCCCCTGCATCCTGAACTATGTCCAGAACTGGTCACCATGCCTTGGTGATCTGATAATATCATTAAAACTTCACATGCAAAACTACTGGATGACAAAATGACAAAAAATATAATCTATATAAATTACTGTCTCTTCTCTCACATAACTAAGTATTGAGGCTGAAGGAAATTTTTTAAAAACCCTCCTTTTAATTTAGTAATTATCAATCTGCATAGCTATGCTTTAAAAAGATTACCCTGGAATTAAAGAAAAAGTAGATTAACACACAAAAATGTCTGATTTGTTTAAGTGTGAAGACCACAACTATTTTTTCAAGTTCTATTTTAGAAGGAGCTTTTGAAGCAAAATTATAATTTATGTGAAAGCATCTAACATTCAAAGCTTTTCTTTCCCAAGGTGTTATTTATGGAACACGAGTTCTGTATGCACTATTTCATGCTCAAATAAGGGTGAGAAAGGGCATGTGATTTTTCTCCCTTCTCCCTTGGGATTCACAATATGCATTAATTCTTCCTACACAATCTCACATCTTATTTTTAAAACTGCCATTCAGCACACTAAAAGCTTCCAAGGAACTGCTGTGATACAATATTTCTAAATGCTCACAATATGTAATAATGTTGTCCAAAATCTCTTATGTTAGCCAAACCAATATAACCTGAAATTACATCATTAGTACAAAAGTCATTCCAAAGAGAAGTACTGAGTGAAACAAATAATGACTGACATTATAAATTAAAGTCAAGAAGCAGAAGCCAAGAGTGCAGAGAAGAAAGGTTTCCTAGGCTACTCTGCCTATTTCCTTTGCATGTTGCCTCAAGACCGCTACTCAGAGAAGGAATGGCAGCAAGATAAATAGCTTTTTCCTTCTTTACCATTGAACTAAAAAATCTCAAAATGAAATGGCCCCAACTATAAACTTCATCACGTAAATCAGGCGTAAGATGCATTAACTGAGTCTCAAAGGTGACACAAGTGCCAAACTGGCTTCCTGAGTATCTGGATTTTGAATAACTTTTTTGTAGAAGGAAGGTGCAGGAAGGAGGCGCTGCCTATGTAAATGTAATGAATGGCCCCTTCCCTCCCCGACTAGTCCACTGCTTGCCTTTGTCTACCTTTGCTCATTTCTCAATGAGCAATTTTAGCTTGTTGTAACATGAAGATCCAGAGGACTCTTGAGTACAGTTTCCCTCTGAGAGCTAAATATTACAACTAAGTATTCCCTACACCAGGAATCAGAAACCTAAACAAAATTCAGGAAAAAGGGAAGGGGAGGGGAGGGAAGGAAATGGAGGGAAGGGAAGAAGGACGGAGGGGCAAACAGACCCACCAACCAGTGACAGACCACTTAATTTTCCAGATTATGGTGAAGATAAATGCCAACTTTAAAAGCATTCAATTCGACCTTTAGGTCTCAGTACAGAGACGTGAAACTAAAGTACAATTTATTTCCTAAGGTCTATGAGGGAAGCGCAATTTTTTCCAGGCTCTAGTAGTAAGAAGTTATTCAAGAAAACATTAGAAGAAATGAAATCTCTGGGAAAATTACTGCCAAGTCTTATCTGGTAAATTTTGATTCCATGTTATTTCTTTAGAACAGCAAGATATATAGCATATTATTGATAATTTAAAAAAATTAGCAAGCCTTATATATGAAAAATAATGAAGTAAAAACAAGCATCATGATCTACTTTATTCCAATTCAGTTCTTGCTGAAAACATTTCAAGTCTCTTACTTTATTATAATCAAGCCCACTGGGATGACACTGTTAGTCTAAAGGGAATCATCTGATAAAACTAGAAAAACACAATGTTTCTTCTAGTGGTAGCACAAATGGCTGCACCTCTCCCACTGAAAAGTCGCATCATATACACAGAACATTAGATGAAGTGAAATGAAGCTAGTGAGAGAGATTATGAATACTCTCAGCCCTGGTGAATACTGCTGGGTGCTGTCTTTTGTCACTGTCCTCCTGCAGCACCTAGACCCTGCCTGTCCAATTGGTGTAGGGCCCCTCTCATCAGCTGCATTACGGCTGTAGCCTCCACACACAAAGTTCCTCTACAGCCAGCCACTGTGCTGACACCCCTGTCTGTGAAGTGGGGGCTGCAGCAGTTATGTGTGCTTTGGAGGCACTGCTTCCCTACTGCTGGGAAGATGCAAATATTCTTCCCAGGAACTCCTACAGTACCTTTTTGGCTTTCGAATGTTGCCCAAGATAGTAGCAGTTTGTGTGGCCTTCATGATCGGTCAACTTGTAGTAAAAATGTTAATATAACAATAAAAATTCTATCAAATATTACTTAAATCAAAAGATTATGGTACCAGGCATGCGCCATCGAACTAGATACAGATGCTACATGGAGTACTGTAAGCACAGTGGTTAAAAATCATGTCTATGTGATAAGAGAAAAGTAGGTTTAAATTCTGGTTCTGCCATTTATAAACTGTATTGTTCTTGAATATGTCTGCTGAGCCCTGATCTGTGATACAAAGATAGTAATATCCACCTTACAGAGTTATTCCAGAGATGTTTAGTCCCATACCAAACTCAATAAAATATAACTGCTATTATTTATAATGAATACTTTTATTCTTCTTTCATCCATTTTACTTTATCATTTAATGGTCATCCAAAGGCCTTAAGGATGCTTTCCTTTGGGAACCAGGGGCTGTTTGTAACCTATGCAACAAGTTAAGTCAGGGACAGGATTAAAAGGTGTAAGAAACTGCCTAAGCTACTCAATTACAGGGAATCTGCCCTTTAGGACCTCAAGATGATCTTGCAGCAAAGAGGTTACTATGAAATTAAGTTTTAAACAGCTTAGGAGTAGAAGATATCCCATGACCCCAGTTACTCTTGCCTTCTGCCCATATATGCCATATTTTTAATGGCAGCATAGTGTTTCTATAAGCCTGTCTGCCCTGTGTGAGCACCACATGGCCCTCTCAGAGAAACTTAGGGTTAGCACTGATTTATTCTCTTCAGTGTCTTAGAATCAATTACTCCTCCAAATGAAGCAGAATTATTGCTTCATTGTTTTTTTATTTTAGTCAGGATGCAAGATTTCTTAATATGCAATGTACATACAAACATCTGGATATTATGAGAAATAATGCATCCACTTCCTGTAAATCTTCCTTTTGGGATCTTGTTTGTTTGCTCCTGCTGCCCTGTTTTTGCCTGCTTGGGATTTGGAATTTTTAAAAAGGTGTTCAAAATCTTTAGTATGAAGAAAGTAACTTAGAAGTAATTTAGCACAGAATAAATAATTATTAATAAAGTAAGGATATAGTCTTACTATTTGGGAAACAAAATCTTTATGAACTAAATTTTAGTCAGCTCAAGTTTAAAAGAACTCAGAAGTAAAACAAGCCTAAATTCATAAACTAGATTAAACTCATTAAATAATTAAATATAGTTTCTAAAAATGTAACTAAAAGAATTATGAGTACACAGATAGAAAAAAATGTCCTTAATTACTAAAGAACCAACTAAATTACAGAATATTTTCTGATAGAAAATTCAGGAACCTTCCACTATGGATAAGGAAATGTATATACAAAATGTCTAAAATTCTACTTAAGAAAGTTGATCAATTTTACAGTTTATATTCCATTGCTGCTTGCTATTACAATTTCTATTGTACATTTTTGGCTATTTATTTTTGTACTGGCAATATTTATCCCTTCACTGAAAACCAATTCCCTCAAACCTGATTAAGAAATCCAGTTCTAGGGAAAATCTCATCTGAACAAAAAGCAACATTTTTAATGGAGCCTTTTAATGTCTTAAAAGATAAAGCCTCATTTGAAAAATGAGCTTCTTTTGAAAAGCAAGTGTTGAGTCTGGCTCTCTAATCCGATTCCTGAATCAATGAATTTCCACTCCTCCACTTGAGTTGAGGTGCCTGTGGCTCCAATCTCTCTGTAGTATAATCTGTAGAACAGATGATATGCACATTCAACAAGCTTTCTCATCTAAGAGAACACTTTTGTGATTTGGACAGCTTGCAAGGAGCTTACTACAAAAACAGTAACAATAATTTATTTTAAACCTGCTGAAGAAGTTAAATCCTCTTGCATCATGTAGTATCTTTGCTATCCAGAACTCCTGAGGAATAAACTACCTTGAATACCTGAGTCCTGTAGGTAGCTGATGAACTTTCTGCCCTTTTTTAACATATAAACAGAATATATAACTTTATCTTCTTTTCCCAAACTCAAGATTAGCTGTTACTCCATGATATAAACAGAATGATGCCTTATAGCTCTAGGCAGTGTTCAGGGCTAACTGACCCTACAGTAAGTGCCTCTCAGTTGCTGTGTTTCATGAGCTGTGTGTTAGTTCCCCGGAGCTTTGCTTTCTTCTTCTTTCTATCCCTGGAGTCTGTATCTATAATAACATTCTCACTCCTATTTTTCTACTTATGCTAGACTTGGAAACCAGACAAGCAAGTTATCAAATTAAATGGAAAGAAGAGGTAAAAAAAAATACTGGGTTTTAGTTTTTTTAACAAATATGCTGATCCATTCCCAGCTTCTTTGAAATAATCCATGTTAAAGTACCTTGTACACTGGAAAGCACTAAATAAATTAATGTTGCTATGATTACTTTTTATTTTGGACCAGCAATGTAATTAGATGGGTTTAAAAGTCATAGGAGAGTACTTTTTTTTTTTTTGTGAGCCACAAATGTAATTTTAGGTTTCCTACAAGCCATAGAAACTAAAAAGAAACAGGTGAAGTTAATTTTTTCCTTTTTTTTGAGAGGGCATCTCTCATATTTATTGATAAAATGGTTGTTAACAACAATAAAATTCTGTATAGGGGACTCAAAGCACAATCATTAATCAACCCCAAGCCTAATTCTCAACAGTCTCCAATCTTCTGAAGCATAACGAACAAGTTCTTACATAGTGAATAAGTTCTTAAATGGTGAACAGTGTGCAAGGGCAGTCATATCACAGAAACTTTCAGTTTTGATCACTCACCATGAACTATAAACAATCAAGTCAGATATGATTATTCGTTTGATTTTTATACTTGATTTATATGTGAATCCCACATTTCTCACTTATTATTCTTATTATTTTTATTTTTAATAAAATGCTGAAGTGGTAGGTAGATGCAAGATAAAGGTAGAAAATATAATTTAGTGCTGTAAGAGGGCAAATGTAGATGATCAGGTGTGTGCCTACAGACTCAGTATTAATCCAAGCTAGACAAGGGCAACAAAACATCCACGGATGCAGAAGATTTCTCTCAAAACAGGGGGGGTGAGGTTCTAAGCCTCACCTCTGTTGATCCCCAATTTCTCTCCTGATGGCCCACCGTAGGAGAGTACTTTGAACATGTGTTTAACCCTCAGAGCACCACACTTATTCCTTGCAACACCCTGATAAATGGGGAAACTGAGACAGAAGTGGTTTACAGATTGAAGAGAACATTAATGTGACTGATGTACTTCAAATGATAAACCACTGTTTAATTTTTGACCAAATCCTATTTTCAACTCTTTTAACACTAAAGGAAAACAAGAATAACTGACATTTTTGAGCACTTACCATTCATGTTTAATTCATTTAATGTTCACAACAAAGCCGACGAGGTTAAGTTCTAGCTAGTCCTCACTTTACAGATGGGGAAACTGAGGCACAGAGTAGTTGAGTTACTCCTAAGGTAAGGGTTACACAGCTTCTAAATATCAGAGTTGAGTCATGAAACCAAGTTGGCTTCACTAAACACACGGCCTCATCCCAAAAACCCGGTGACTAATCACTTTTTATATCTGTATTTATAATTTCGTAAATTTCTCCAATTAGTCCTGGGAAAACAAATTATTCATCAACTTTTTTAATTTATAAAAAGTTAAAGGCCTACTCAGTTAAACTTTATAGGTAAATGTAAGAATCTTGTTTTCTTTTTTAAAAAAAGTATTAGTGTGAGGTATGAAGGTAAACTTTCTCTTGAAGATAAAGTATTTCCCTTTCATTCTGACCATGTGTCAGCTTTCCAATTTTAAATAACAGCTTTTGGACAGGTTACAGGAGAGAAAATGTAAAGCCAACTGAGATGAAGTGGCTGCCAAAGTATGCTGCTATTAGGGACATTTAGAAGCTACCAGTTTCCTTGAATGTAAAAGGATGAACAGGACCAGACGGCCCCAGGACCCCTTCTCATGTTGGAGTTGTATGATTCCAAAGCAGAAGGTAAAGGGCTCTCAAAACATACCTTGAGTATTCTTGAGGATATGGGGAGGAGTACCAGGTGTGAATTTCATACTTCCCAAACTCAATGACAGAGGGACAGCGCACTTGTGGATCAGGCGGACCAGTCACTCCAACTTTCTGGGCATTCAAAAAATACATTACAAAAGTTAGCTAAATTAAATACACTGAGATAGAGAAAAACAAAAAAAAGATCTGAATCTAAATGATGTCTTCTCAGGATTCTATAGAACAAAAAAAGCCAGAAAGAAACTAACAAGTTTTGGAATAAGCTGTATTATTCTATAAATAAGGCACCCAAATGAAGAACAAACATGTGAATAAATCTCTTAGAACCAAACACAGATGAGTCACTGCATTTTCCATATTTAATAATAGGGCAAAAACTTTGCTCAACTGAACTCACTCCCTTAATAACTTAGTTATAAAAGAGAAACTGCGGTCATTTGGGGAATGTAAGATAAAGAATCACCTTAATGTGGGGGAGGGTTGTGCACACTTGCCCAGGTAAGACATGTACCGTCTCCACAGACAACAACGGAGATGGCCTACTGAATATGTGAGCATACAGAGCAGAGAATGCTTTTCTGCTTTGGTTACGTTGGTATTTAAGAACAACATAAAAATAATAAGACAAAACAAGTTATCAAAAGAGTCTTCATTTTATGTTGCCTATATTATTAGCTCTTTATTAGTAGCTCTTCACAGATTCGACCAAGAAAAAAATACTGTTATACACATACTATTATCCCTTTATCTACTTTCTCATCTTAATGAAATTAATCTCTCTGCCCCATCCCTGCAATAATCTAAACTACACTATCTAAAAGAAAAAATAACTCATAGAGCCTCTGTGACATCCACACCAGCAACCCATATATAAGCCACTGTTAATAACTGAAAAGATCAGGTTTTACATAAATTCAAGGGCAATTTGATTTTCTCTGCACCCAATATAGCAACAGATTCATATATACATATATACATGTATGTATATTATGTGTATAATATCTAATATATATGTATGTATATGTATATATTTATCATGTATACTCTATGAATACTAAATGACTTAAAAAGACAAGGTTGGAAGTTAGCTAATCAAACACAAATATTAACTTAATCAAAAGAATAATCCAAGTTATCCTTCAACTTCATGTTTAAAAAACCACTGAGAGATTATTAAAAGCCCCCCATGTTAGAGCCCACAGACACACACCTACACAACTTATAACAAAACTAAAAAGACTGGAGATTTGTATTCACTATTTTTACAAATAAATTCATTTAAGGAAGAAGCCTCTTCATCCACAACTAACTTGAGAACTCTCCCTTGTCTTTCTAACCATCTTTTTTTCTAACCAATCTTCTTTTATTAAAGGCCAAGGGACTTATCTCAGGTTTCATACTGGAACACAGCCAGGTGAAACCTCAACCTGTTCCTTAGGCACCTCAAAACAAAAGACAAACATCTATTAGTTGGATAAATTGTGTTATGACACCAAGAGTACTGGGGCTCTTCCAAATACAAAAATCATAAGGACAGACACAAGACAGAGTTAAACTAAGGTTTTTTCATTTCTCAAAACCTAAACACAAGACAGAATTAAACTAAGGTTTTTTCATTTCTCAAAACCTAAACAGAACTCTATAAAAAGGTTTTAATAACAGTGTTTAAACTACATTCTAGAGTCAAGTATTCTAATTCGTAAAGTTAGTATCTTTAACTTATCTTCACAGCTCAAAATAACAACAGTAATATAGAAAGTATCAGAATAACCAAATATCAGAAACCAACTCTCACTTCCTGAGCCAAGGAGCAAATAGGAGTCCCACAAGCTGCCAACAGGCACCTGCTGTGACTCTGCCTGCCATCTGAGGTCTCTCCCATCAGCTGCCTGGTGCTCTTCCAGGTGGATGCCCGACGTGAAGCTGGATACCCAGTTCCAGTATAATTGTTTGCACATCACCTCAACAAAGAGAACCTGTGTAAAATTAGACTTGCGGCAGATGTCCTGACCTACCCTCACCGTCTGCACTCTGAAATGCACTGGCACATGCGCATATCCACCTCAGTCTTCCACCTCCAACTCCCTTGTGACAACCTGTGAGCCAGTGTGTTTCCCTTTACCAAGATGTACAAGTTGGCAAAGGCTCTATAAACCAGTCAGCCCCATCCTTGCTGACACCAAACTGGCAAATCTGAATTACAAGGTCACCTTTGAGAGGTCTTCATTTTAAATTTTAGCCAAAACACTCTTTCATTAAACACAGAACTTCCCAAAGCAGTAGGTATCCATTGTAATCAAGAGCACAAAATACTTCTAACTGAAGTTCTGCCACTTGTGACCTCTTCTTATATGAACAGGCCGACATCTTTAAAAGCTGACATATATTCTAGGCCAGAATGGACCTCCTCATCTATGAAAGTAAGGGAGGCACTAAATGAGCTAGTAATTGGGCTAAACCAAAAGATAACTTTAAATACACCTATTCTAGATAATGAAATTTGTATTACTAGCAGTTCATAAGATTACTACCTTGTACAAAAACTCTGTTCCATTCAATGACTTATATAATTTCAATTTCCAATATACAGAAACCATTCTTGGGGTACCCCCAGGTCCAGGACTGTACCTTTACTATCAGTATGAGGATGTGAACTGTGGGAAGAGATATCTTTCTAGTATTTTCCCACAGAAACACTATGATAAAAAATAATTCCATCCATTAGGAATTAAAAGTAACATGATGAAAGAGGTATGTAAGAATGAGTTCACAAGCTTTAAAAATGGGGGAAGCATAAACTTAAAGAACAGAGAAAATCAGCATTTGTTAAGCACCTACGGTGCCAGGCTCTGTGCCTTGTATTATCTCATTTAATCCCCACAATCCATCCCTCCAAGTATGAAACAATATGCCCAGTACTGTAGATGGAAAAAAAAAACAAGGCTCAGAGAAGTTAGGAGGCAGAAAAAACCTCCAGGACAGGAGTATCAAGACTGAAGTATAAAGATGAAAAAGAACAAATGGGCAGAGATGATATAAGAAGTACAGGTAACCCTCACCTAATTAACATTCTGAATTCCCAAAGTTTATGTGAAAATTCTTTTGAACTGGAACTTAGTTTTCTATAGAAATGAAGCTATAAACCCAGACTCCTAACCTAGACACTTGGAATAGAATGTGCCTTGGAATCCTGAGTTTTCCTGATGGTAGACAGCATTACAGTCCACGTACGTATCTTAATCACCAGCCCTGGCAGAAGGGGGCAACACTCCACAATCAGACACATTAATATTTCTTTAGCAAAGCATATGAATATTCACATTAAATGGGTTAAGTAAAGAATATTACTGTTCAGCATGTCTTGCCAACTGAGTTTAGGTAATTACCTTACTGTAAAATGAGTTATAATTTATTTTTCATTCTCCAAAGAAGACATACAGATGGTCAATAAATTGCACATGAAAAGACCCTCAAAATTACTAATCATGAGGGAAATGCAAATGCAAACCACAATGAGATATGACCTTACGCCCATCAGGACGGCTACTATTAAAAAAAAAAGAGAAATTACAAGTGTTGACAAGGATGTGAAGAAACTGAAATCCTTTAGCAGTACTGGTGAAAATGTAAAATGGCACAGCCACTGTGGAAAACAGTATGGCAGCTCCTCAAAACCTTAAACATAGAATTACCATATAAACTAGGAATACCACTTCTGGATACACAAAATAATTCAAAGCAGGGACTCAGACATTTGTCCACCCTTGTTCACAGCAGCACCCATATTCACATCACCAGTTCACTGGCATTATTCACAACAGCCAAAAGGTGAAAGCACACCACAGTGCCATCAATGAAGGGGCGGATAAGCATTCAGGGTGTAGACATAAACCAAGTGATATAAATTCTGCTGAGAAAATTCCGACACATGCTACAACATGCATGAACCTTGAAGAAATTATACTAAGTAAAATAAACCACTACTTGAGCCCTCGTTTTAAGATTTTAAAACCTGATCTTTTTAGTTGTTAGCAATGGCTTATATTTGAATTGTTGGTGTGGAAGTCATAAAAGCTTTACGAGTTTTTTTTTTCTTTTAGATAGTGTAGTGGTTCAGATTACTGCAGGGATGGGGCATAGAGACTGCTTTTTTTATAAACAGAAGGTAGATTAAAAGGTTAAGAGTAGGTGTAAAAAAATGTGGGGATAACCTGGAAAGAATGGTGATTACCAGAGGCTGGGGCAGAGAAAAGTGGGGAGTTTTTGTTTAGCGGGTATAGAGTTTCAGTTCAGGAAGACAACGAAGCTCTGGAGATATTGTGGCTGCACAACAATGTGTTATGTACTTAATGCCACTGGGCTGTATTCTTAAAATAGTAAGATGGTAAATGTCATGCTATGTATATTTGATCACAATAGTTTTTCTTAGGTTTTCAGGACCCTGGATCTCATTACTGTAAATGTAATAAGACTATGTCTCTCTTCCCCTATGTTTTTTGGTCATCTACATTCAGACATCTCCTTTGCTTTACTATTAAATACTGATGAAATCTAGGATTCTGTATTCAGCCCTCTTACCCTTTCTCTCCATAAAGCCTCTAACCCAGCGATTCTACCAGCTTTTCACCTTCATACAACTTTCTTCCCCTTATCCAGCTGAAATTCCAAGGTCTTTCACTGTACCTCATCTTTGCATATATCCTTAATGTCTTTATCTCCTGATTCAACAACAAAATCCTAACTCTAGTTAAATCAGTTTTCACATAATCTAAGTTATTAACCTCAAATCTGAACAGGGTTAGAGAAAAGCACAGAGACTGCTGACCAGCCTCAATTTATAATTCATAAGCACTAACTTTAAATGGGCCCTTGATGCTTCCCTACTTCATTTACTCTCCCATTCTCCTACAAGATTATTTCATACTTTCTCCTGTCTCAAGACTCCAACACCTCTTACGTTATGCCATCTTCTCTTTGGACCAATGCCTTAGCTTTCTACTACACTAGAACACTAAGGAATAAAAAGAGAAAGTCCACGGCTTTCCATGGCCACATCTGTATGTCCACCCCTCTGTGCCCACACACCCTGCCTTTCCTTAATACTATCGCTA